GCTATAAAACTTGAACTGGACCCTGTTTCACAAAAACTTAAACTAAAATCACTAAAATAGATTTTAACTAAAATCAAACTGAAATTTTAAATTTTATGCGTTTCACGAAGATCGATTGTAACTTAAAATGCAATTTTAATTGATTTTAGTTAAAATAGTAACAAAGAGTTTTGTTTACTGGGGTTTTGAGGGTTTTTTCTGTTCTTGGGGTTTTAATTTCGGGCGTCATCTAATTGCTTATATTGCCTTACAATAAAATAAATGGGTGGGCCGCAGCTATATTTCATCTGCAATGAAAAGAAATTGAATGAAAATTATTTTTGTGAATGATAGTATGTTTAAATATACCATTGGCAATATTATCATTATTCCAAACTTATCTATATGTCGCAATAGATCTCACAACGTAGCTCTAATAAATGTGTGTTAATGTCGTGATTTTAAGTTGGGAGAGGGTGACAGCTGTCCTAAGTTAAAATTGATTTTAGTTAAAATTGTCCCTAAAATAGTTATGTGAAAGGCCACTATTTTAAGTTAAGATACAATTTTAACTTACAATATTATTTTAGTGGATTTTATCTAAAATGCTTAAAATCGTTTTGTGAAACGCATCTATCTTAAGTTAGGATGGAATTTTAGTTTAAGACGATTTTAAGGAGATTTAAGTTTTTGTGAAACAGGGCCCAGAATTAGTTCTCACAAGAAAGAAAGCAATGGGTTGACCATTCGAGGTATTTCACAAAGTTTTAGCCATTTTAATTAAAATTTGAAGAAATGACAAGCTATTTTTGAGTCGTAGTATTACCTGGAACAGACAGTAATTTTAGGAAATTAAGATTCATCCAATTTTTTATGTCATATACAAGCCTCAAGTTTACAGATTTCGGTGGAGTCACTCGATGGTTTCAAAGCAAGATATAGTTGTGTGTCGTCAGCATAAAGATGAAAGTTAATTCCATGTTTTCGGATGATATCGCCAATTGGTGTTGTGTAGGCAGTGAATAAAAGAGGACCAAGAACCGACCCCTGCGAAACTCCAAAGCGTAGGGTTTTTGAAGACGATGTTGCTTTCTCAATAACTACATACTGTGACCTATCAGTTAGATAAGAGCTATCCTTTTTAGACATAGTTCATCAACGCCAAACGTGTTTGTAACCGGTTTAATAGAATATCATGATACGACAGACTGTTTATTATCTATGTTAGTAACAATATCGTTATATACTCTCAGCAGTTCTGTTTATTATCTATGTTAGTAACAATATCGTTATATACTCTCAGCAGTGCTGTTTCAGTGCTGTGACCCTTCTTGTATGCTGACTGAAATTTTTCGTCAAGACTATTAATAACAAAATGATGTTTTGGTCTCGTGGATATAACTTTCTCAATTAATTTTGATATGTATGTCAGATCAGACACAGGTCGAAAGTTCTTTAAGTTATTCGGGTCTAGATTTAGTTTCTTCAGTAGCGGTTTAACATGGGCGATTTTTGTGAACTGGCTTACATTACCATGCATAATTGATGTATTAACAATGTGTGTAATTATTGGTAAAAGTTCATTTATACACAGTTTAAGTAACCATGTTGGTATTGGATCAAGGTTGAATGAAGAAGACGAAGATTTACTTATCAAATCCTTGAGTTCTGTATTTGAAGCAGGAGAAAAATTTGTGAGTGGTGAACCAGCGAATGCTTCTTCTGCTTCTGCCAGATAATGTCCACGATCAAAAAGGAATGTTCGGTGTTAGAGCATTCCAGTCCCTGATGGTCCTTGGGAAGTATGCATATTTCCTGTAATCACTATGGAACATCAGGATGGAACTTGGTATGAATGGTATGTGTGTTTCTGCTACGCGGTAGTGGAGGCACAAGGATGTTCTTGTTGATGTGGACTAGTCCTCTGTGTATCTTGAAGAACATTGCCAACCTCGCATGTTGATAACAGAGCTCACCAATCTTCAACAACTCAGCTTTGGTGTAGGTGATCATACTCACATAAACTCACAGTTGAAGTAAAATATGAATAAAAACTAAATTGCAATTTCTGCTAATATATCCAATAAAATAGATAAACAAGTTCCACTAAACTGATCTTCAAATCAAAACACAGGTACATGCCAAAATTAGCATGGATTAAAGATTGTTATATCCTTTAAAACACACAAAATAGTAAGAGCTAAAAACACATGCAGCCACCTTGGGCGCCATTACAAAGTCATTCTGAATATTATCACAAAGGAAAAACGTACCAAAATAACCCTAATTGACATTTTTGCATATCTGTAGCCTCGTTTTGATTTTTTCCTTGAGTGACATCAAACGTCAAAGACGACATGGGTCGTGAATATCCCTATTGAAACTAAGCACTGCATCCCGTCATTTTGACTAACTTGAAGAATAGACCTAGTACCGGTTGTTCAAAGCTCCATTAACATAAACGACCCGTTAACATGGAGTGTCATAATTTTTAACAGAGAGAAAGCCTGTTGCTGGATGCCCCATTAACTTTAACATGTCGTTAACTTCCCGTTATACGATGGCATTTTGTCCGCTGTCAGTCCAAGTATATAACCCATAGCCTCGGCCAATCAAAAATATGTCCCTCCTCAACGCGGCGTCATCGACCTCATTTATATAAGTGCTACTTTCGGTCCGACGCAGTTAATAATCGCCAAGTGACAGGCTTCAAGTTTGATTTGTAATTAATAACCATGTAAAATGGCCAATTTAATTCGATTGGGAGGGGTATAATGATCAAATAAAGTCTCGTTAACAATATAAATGAGGAAAAGAGTTAGAACTAGTGAGTATTGTGAAATGATAGCAGGCGAAATTATTTCAACAAGTCAAAACAATATGGCGGGTAATACACCCTGTTGTTATATTATTGTAGTATAAAGTCAAGCATCTGTCAGATAACGATCCGTTAGAGCTTAAAGGGGCCATCCCGATTTTAACAGAGTCTCAGAAATAAAATCTGCGTGCGTATGAAATTTAATCGCCAAAATATAGAGGAATGGTGTATTAAATTGTCTAAAAATTTCAGCTTAATATATTGAGTCGTTGAGACGTGAACGTCAAAACCGCTCATCATGACGCGTAAACCTTTTAAGACGTCGGGGTCGTCAGGTCAGTTTTTCATTGGGTGACCTAATAATCTATTACCGTGTCTTTAGAGGTCAAAACAGTGCTTGATGTATGTACTGTACTTGATAACGAAAGGTAAATTTCACCTACACATTATTTTTATGAAATAAAAGTCTGGTTTTATCCAGACACTGTATAGTACAGCTTGGGGCACCGGTCTCCATTTCCAGATTAATAATTTAGATAACATTTCAGGCCTAAAGAAAGACCTGCAATAGACAGATTTAGCTCTTGCATAATGTATGTTTAAGTGTATGTTTTATTGTTTATTAAATGACAATAGGATGAGACACAAGTTATAAAGTATTACAATTGCGTTGCTTGGCGATGTACTACTACTACCAACACTCAATATGGAAGAATTTGTCATTTTTTTAAATTTCCTAAAGAGGTGACGCGCAAAAAAGTCTCTTTCTAAACATGCTTGTCTCTGTTCGAAGCCTTTGGGGTCATCTGCTTAGGAACGTGGTCCTGATCGATTGAAGGAATATGGTGATCAAGTTCTCCTTCTATGACTATGTTGTATGTTATTAACACTGTGCATGTCAGTGTGTGAAACGGACAGGCTTGCAATATCTAACAATAGAAATGACTGATGTAACCCTAGCAACGAAATGTAAATAACACAGGGAATATCACCTTTTCGAAGCGTCTTCCTCGTCAGTAGGCCTTATATCGAAATTATTGCAGTCGGCAAATGATAGTGTGACAGAAACAATTTTCTCTGATACGTGTCTAGGGCAAAGATAGGGGTTTATTCGTTAAATTAATGACATTAATATGATTTAAACTCGATGTAAAAAAATAACACAACATTATGACCGTTTACCCATATACACATATACACTTCGCTAGAATGTTCTGAACCATCATCGTCACAGGCATTTACAACTAGGCTCGTACTGATATGGAAGAACATTCATAGCGAAAACATTGTCTGACATGCTGTCACTTTCTGTCGATGCCATATATCGGATAATATGGAAAATGCATGAGTATTGTCTATGTTGTCGTGTCACATGATTTGGCTTCAGCTCATTAATTGTCGGGTGAAATTGTTACGATTTGTTACTAAAAACAAAACAAAAAATTAAAAGAATTCTGAAATGCGTTATACAGTGAACTTATTAGTAAATAATAAAATTAAACTTTTACTATAGCATTCTCCTTTTTAGGGACCAAAAGAGCTTGGATGAGTCAGAATCCGAAATGCCACTCTTTCGCTAACCTGTTGGTGGTTGTTTTAATGGTTGCCGACCAGGGGCCGGTTTCACGAAATTTTAAGTAAGATAAAATCCAAATTTTAGTAATTTGATTGGATAATATTAGATTGATTTTAGTTCTTAGCCAATCAAAATTGAAGTATCTACTAAAATTTGGATTTTATCTTTAGTTAAGATTTCGAGAAACAGGACCCAGGGTAACCGTAGATACTGTTTTAGTCATGTTACTACTAATCGTTGGTGCCGATTTGTTTGTATACGCCGACGGAGCCACAGTGGCTAAGTGGGTAAGACGCTGGCTCGCGTGTTCGATCCCTACATTGGACGAGAAAGTTCATTGGGATTTTCCTTGTGCTGTCTAGTCTTTCGGATGGGACGCAAAACTAAGGTATCGTGTATACATTAGCAAAGGCCTAAAAGATCCCTTGGCAGTTGGAAATCGATGTAACAGTGGGCCATAGTGCCGCTGTCCGGGCAAAAGTGCCCTCATCATAGCACACTGTATGGCGTATGCCCGTCTTCATTAGTCTAGTCAGAGCAGAACAGTACCACGTTAAAAGACATTTCATTTCATTTTTGTATACGCCTGCATTTCACTGATGTTGCATTGTCTTTTCATTATTTCAGCCTGTAATTCCGTCACCAACTGTGTCACCGGCAGCCAAATCAAAGTAAAACGCAGGTTGTGGTATCTATGGACAACAGACCAACCCATCATTACTGCATTATAAGTAGTTTATTTTCCAGGAATAGGAAATGTCACCTACAGCTTACTTATTAGAAGAATAATCTGGTTATGATCATATCTTTCCATGTATTAGTTAAAATAAAAACTTTATCCAAGTGTATATGGGGGTTTTTTCGCCCACATTTTCATGGGGATGTATATTGTATAACCCAAATATCTTGTTTCCTTTCGATATTCGCGAATAGTGAATCATAACTTCCTGAATTATGGCCCCTGATTGTACAAAAAATCGCGTTTTTAGCTTGTGGTCCCTCTAGACCTCACAATTTTTATCCGATTTAAAAAAAAAACGTTTTAGTACATCACCGTTACACCCTAATGGTGGTTGAGTTCGAATTTTGTGAAAATCGAACCAAGACAGCCGGACAAAAAGAAAAAGTGTGAATTTATCACAGTTATACACTAATGATGGTTGAGTTCGAATTTCGTAAAAAAATCAGACAAAAACTGACAGACATAAGGGCCGCCCCTTATACACAAATAGTGTAAAAATATGCAATATCAAGGTTGTGGACCCTCTAGAGGCCACAGTTTTTATCCGATTTGAATGTAACTCTAAATATATGTTTTTATCAAAAGGTAGAAATGGGCGATTCTTCCAATTATCCCAAGTTTTGTAATGTAACTAGTTTCGTTTGTATTGAACGCTTCAGACTGGTTGGACTTAAAAAGTGAAGTTCTATTTATACTATTCCGGGACTCCGGTAAAAGAATTTGGCGGGGTTGCCGGGGTTATTTTACCAGGGTTTGGCGTAATTTGGCGGGGTTGTATTACCGGGATTTGGTATTATGGCGAGGTTGCCAAGGGTTGTATTACCGGGGTTTGGTATTATGGCGGGGTTCAAGAGTTGGCGAGATCCTGGGGTTTGGTATTATGGCGGGGTTTATGAGTGTGCCAAATATCGGGGTTCGGTATTATGGCTAGATTGAGGAATAACCTAAAGCAAAGCCAGGGGACTAGTTTCGTTCGTATTGAACTCTTCAGACTGGTTGGATTTAAAGGGGAAAGCAAGTCCGGGTAGGGTCTGGGGCCCTTGAGGCTAGAATAGGAAAGAAAAAAAATAATATAGATGATTAATTTATTAGACCAGAAATAAAAGAGGAGTGTTCGAAATCAAGTTGAGTCAGTTGGCACGCGAGCGTCGGGTCTCGCTCGAGTTCTTGTTGCAGTTGTGGTTCATTGTTGACTCTGAATAACTTGTCAGTGGACGGGTATCTGTTCCTCCAGATGTCACTGCGGCTGGAGCAGACTGTGTCCCAAGTTTCTGCTGCTAACTGGCTCGTGGAGATGTTGTGATCCCAGTTTCTGAAACATGGGAACGGTGCCCCTGACGGTGTAAGGTGGCATCGGATCTGGTAGTAGATTGTAGCGGGGCCACACGTGAGGGGTTATACCACACGTACAGTTTCCGTGGAAAAACTGATGGCCGGGTTGGTGGTACCTAGATCCCCTATAGTGGTGGTGATGACTTGCTGGAGCTGGTCTCGCTTATCTTGCAGTTATGCTTCTGAAGATATTCTGACCTTCTGTAGGATTTACTGCAGAGGGCGCATGTAAACCTGGGTGCCGCATGTCTCGATGTCGGAGGACATGGCATTTCTTGGATAAGACTTTCCCACAGATGTGGCAAGCGGCCATTTTGGTAGAAGAGTTGCTATGACGTCGGGTATCGTATTGTGACGTAATAGTAAGTAACTTAACGTGGAATAGTATAAAAGAGGTAGCACGGTGGCACCTAAAGTGGGGTTGGGAGGCTAAAAAAGATCCAAAGTTGGGACACCCAGTGGGGAGGGTTGTAAAACAAAGATAATAAAGGGGGGGGGGGGGGGCCTAAGTTCAGATTTTGTCGTTGATACCGTGTGGTTTTTAATCTTATAATCCAATGTAATTCGATTGTGCGTCTATTGGTAGTAGAAGTATATAGCTCAGGGTCTGTGCCAAGTTGTTTAATTATTTGATAGACAAGGTTTCGATTGGAATGTCTGGGTAAATGGAAGTGGGAGGCGATTGGGGTGTCTCTCCTGTGGGTAATATCAGCATAGTGTTCCTTCAGCCCAATGCAGAACAGTCTTTTGGTTTCGCCTACATATTGTTTGTGACATACATTACAGGTGAGAAGGTATATTACATTCTTGCTGTGACAGGTCCAGTTGTTGGTAGTGTAAGACGCAAATTCTTATTTCCTTCCACATATGTAATTCGCAATATTTTTTAAGTGCGAAATTTGTATGAGACCAATATTTTGCACGGGCTTCTGTAACAGATACCTGATTGCCCAGTCTAAATTTAATGTAATTTGTTTAGTCATATTTAAGTCTTGATAATCGAGGCTGTTGTGTCTGCTTAGAGAGACGCCATGACTTAAAATTTGTTGGTAGATTTCTTGGAGCCCAGATCAGCATACAAAATGGTGAGAAACAATGCAAACTAAGGCCCACACCTTACACTTACACCCTTTATTGCTTTAAGGTCAGCTACATAAATTATGTCCCCCAAAACAGCCAGTTTTATGTAAGTCAAGTCTGTGTTGCTCTGCCCAGCGTTTTAGGGGTTTTGGCGCAGTAATGACCAAAGTCGTAATTCCGTTAAAATGTTTTGTTTCACGCACGATGTTGTTACCATTTATAGTATTATACATTATTGTAGTATTTTAAGGCTTATTGATTATTTGTGTCTTACTGCAAGTTCAATAGTAACGTTTCTCACACAGTGCAGATCTAGGCCTATCTAGGCTACGGCCTGAATTGCAAACTGACGGCCATACAGCTATTTATGTCCTACTGCAAGTGCCAAATTAATGTTTCTCACTCAGTGCGAAGCTAGGCCTATCTAGGCTATGTTTTGAATTCCAATAGAAGGCTTTACAGGTACACCCTACCTGTCATATTAGTTTTATTTATAACAGATATTTATTGTTGTATTATAGTATTTTTCAGTCAATCATTAAACATCAATCATTAAACATTAAACATGCTGCCTTGGAGAATTAATTTAGAGAATTAAAGTATTTTAAAAACTGAATTAAAATGAGTGCGTGTTACATGCATAGACATTTTTGCTGGTCTGGGCCCAAGTTGGGAAATGGAGAGTGGTACTTCAAAATGAGAATCCCTGTTGTGCTTATGATGTAGCGGTGCAATTTCTCTGATGCGACTTTGATCTACATAGACTTATATGTTGTGATGGCCTGTTGTGTTGGGCTCAGGATGGAGAGTGGTACTTCAAAATCTGAATCCCTGTTCGGTTCCAGTGATGGTGCTTGTAATGGTGCAATTTCTCTGTTGCGTCCTGATCTACACAGACCCACTTGTAATGGTAGTTTTGATGAAAAACTTGCTGCGAAAATAGATATCGTTCATAAACAGAGGGAAATAGATACTGTGAAGCTTGAATTATCCTTCAAGGAACAGGAATTAAAGTTGTTGATGGAGCATGAACTTACTCGTGAGAACAGAAATCTCTCGCAAGCTAGAGTTACCAATGGTGGTGGTGATTATCCCTCGCAAGATTTTTACGCTACATTGCAAACACCTTTATATGGTCAGAGACCTTATACTCAGCAGAGTACTGAGGAAACATTAACGTCTGTGATTCGACAAATAAAAAAACCAACAGTAAGAGTAACCCCCTTTGAAGGGGATGTATTGGACTACCACAGGTTTATAAGACAATTTAAAAGTGTGGTTCTGCCGAACTGTGAAACCGATGACGAACGGCTAAATTATCTTGACCAGTTTACAGGGTATAAGTCCAATAACGACGTTAAAAGCTACAGTCACCTACCAGCTGATAGAGCCTTTCGTACAGCTTGGAGAGTCCTTGAAGAGAAGTACGGGGATGATGAAGTGATCGCGAATAGATATGTAGAGAAAGCCCGCTGGTGGCCCACAGTAAAATCGGATGACCCGAAGGGACTGGAAGATTTGTCAGTTTTCTTAGTGGAATGTTTTCACGCTTTAAGGTCAAATAATTCTATTTGTGTGTTAGAATACTCTGAAAACCTGAAAAAGATAATTCAAAAGCTTCCTTATTACATTCATGATAAATGGCGGAACATTTATCAAAATACCAAGGAACAGGGAAGATGCGTGCATTTCGGACTACTTGTAAACTTGGTGAAAGCAGAGGCATCTAAGGCAAATGATCCTACTTATGGAAAATTATCTCTTTCTGGTGACCGATCCAAGAGTAGTAGTAGTAGTAGTAGTAGTAATCGACTGCAAGTCGTCATTCTAGACCAAGTTATATTCAACCAAGAGGATCATTTGCAACTAGCTCTAGCCCACGCTCTCATGAAAGTCTCCCTGTAAATCAGTATAAGTTCATACCTTATGATATAGCATATAAAAGGCCTTGTTTGTATTGTAAACACCCATCGCATCCCTTGTGTGTCTGTAAGGTTTTAAGTGCTCTTGCATTCAATGAAAAATTTGACTTTGTAAGACAGGCAAGGTTATGTTTTAGTTGTTTACGTCCAGGTCACATTTTAGAACGTTGTAGTAAAAAATCAAAATGTCCTCAATGTAATGAATTTCACAATGTAATTTTACATCCAAATATTGTTAATAATTCTAATCAAATTCAAGAGGGTCAAAATCATGTCTCATCAGCTGGTCATCATATGGAGGCCGGGGCTAATTTTTGCACAATGGCAATTTTACCAGTACGAGTAAAGATGAGAAATGGTATTAATTCTGTAACAACTTATGCCTTCTATGATCCTGGCTCTAGTATATCATTTTGTACCCTAAAACTGATGTGCCAACTAGGTTGTTTCGGAAAGTTAACAAATTTGTCAATCAAGACAATGGGTTCTGTTTTTGCTCTAAATTGTTATGCTATTAAAAATATGCAAGTTTGTGATTTATCTTTAAATAGTGAAATTGATTTGCCAGAATTGTATACAAAAGATTGTTTGCCTGTTACGAATGATCACATACCTACTAATGATGATATTTGTAAGTGGCTCCACTTAAGTGGTATTAATTTACCAGTTGTTAAGGCCGAGATAGGTTTGTTGATAGGAAACAATGTACCAGATGCCTATTCAGTTTTAGAGCTTAAATCCGGACCGTCGGGGAGCCCCAATGCCACACGTACTGCCTTAGGTTGGATCATTTGGAATTTGATGAGGGACATGTGACTACCTGTGAATTCTATAGACATTCTTGCCATTCCCGATTTACAGCACTTAAAAAGAGTATTAGAACAAATTTTTAATCATGATTTCCCGGAAAGTGCAAAAAATGACGTTAAGGAAAATTCGCAAGATGATAAGTTGTTTATTGAAAAGACTACTAATTCTATTCAGTTTGAAAATGGACACTATTCAATTGCATTACCCTTTAAAGATTCTCGAATTTTGTTACCCAATAATCAAATCCAAGCTGAACGTCGTCTTTTTAGCCTTCGCAATAGACTAAAGAGAGACCCTGTGTATTCTGGTTACTATAATGACTTCATGAATAAACCTTTATCAAAAGGTTACGCGGAAAGGGTACCGGAAAATCAATTAGATGGAAAAGAAGGAAAGATATGGTATACTGCTCATCACGGTGTCTTTAACGAAAATAAACCAGGTCAAGTTCGGGTGGTATTTGACTGTGCAATGCTGTTTGAAGGTATATCTCTAAATCAAAAACTGTTACAAGGACCAGATATGATGAACAGTTTAATAGGGGTCCTGTTACGGTTCCGCCAAGGTAGTATTGCGGTCATGGGTGATATCGAGTCTATGTTTTATCGAGTACGTGTGCCGGAGTGCGATCGCGATTTTTTACGTTTCATATGGTGGCCTGATGGCAATTTGGACTCAAGACCTGTTGACTATAGAATGGCTGTTCACCTATTTGGAGCTGTGTCATCACCGTCATGTGCAAATCTAGCTCTCAGACAAACCGCGTTTGACAATGTGAATAATTATAATTCATCAGTGATTGATACTATTTTGAGAAACTTTTATGTGGATGACTGTCTGAAGTCCTTAGATGATGAGCTTGAGATGATATAACTTGTCAAAAATTTACGTTCACTCTGTGCTAAGGGTGGATTTAATTTAGTAAAGTGGATTTCTAACTGTCGTGATGTTTTATCGTCAGTGCCTACGGATCATAGAGCCAAAGAGGTCCGAGAACTAAATTTTGGATTGTGAAGAACTCCCCGTGGAGCAAGCTCTGGGTATAACATGGATGGTTGAAAAAGATGTCTTCCGTTTTAAAATTAACCTAAAGGTACAGCCGCCAACTAGACGTGGTATTTTGTCGACTGTAGGGTCCATATACGACCCCCTTGGTTTAATATCACCTTTTATACTTCCAGCAAAATCTATACTCCAAAATCTATGTCGTCTAAATTTGGGATGGAATGACGAAATACCTCCTACAGAACTGCAAAGATGGAAGAATTTCTTGGAAGATCTCCCGACCCTCCAGGAGTTTGTCATACGACGGTGTTATAAACCAGAAAATTTTGGAAATGTTGTTTCCTGTCAACTCCATACATTTGCAGATGCAAGTAGCGATACTGGTTATGGAATGGTCTCTTGTTCGCTTGGTAAATGGTTCTGGTAAAATTCACTGCTCTCTATTGTTTGGCAAGTCTCGTGCAGCACCTCTAAAGAAGATAACTGTCCCAAGAATGGAGCTAACGGCTGCAACCATAGCTGTTAAACTTACCAATATGATCCTAAAGGAATTAGAGATTAATATTGATCAGCTGTTCTACTGGACCGATTCTATGTCGGTATTGAGATACATTCAAAATGAAAGTACAAGGTTCCTAACATTTGTCGCCAATCGAGTAGCTGCTATCCGAGATGGAAGTAAAGTGTCACAGTGGCATTACGTTGGTACCAAGGAGAATCCTGCAGATTTGGCTTCCCGAGACATATCTGTACGAAACACTAATAATGTGAATCGCTGGTTACATGGACCTTTGTTCTTACATAAACCAAAAAATGAATGGCTTATTCAACATCTGTCAACCGAATCTCTTTCAGAAACCGATCCCGAATTGAAGAAGGCTGTTACAGTAGCTACGTTTGGTGTCCCTAATTCAACAACCGATCGTTTGCTTACACGTGTTTCAAGCTGGTCGAAATTAAAACGGATTGTCGCTCGACTATTGATTTGTTTTGATTTTCTTAGAGAAAGAGCGAGTAAACGAAAGGAAGTCGCCACAGCTTTAAAATATGGTGTTTTAGACCAAGCACACCTACAGGTGAAGGTCACAGCAGACATTAATGCACAGGATGTTACGAAGACTAATCGTCCCTTGGTTTTAGAAGATATCTAAAGAGCAGAGAAAAGTCTTTTTCGCTTTATTCAGAGTAAGAGTTTTAGAGAGGAGATTGAGTTATTAAAAAAAGGAGAAAGTGTCAAGAAGAGTAGTACATTAAAGAGACTTGACCCTATTTTGTGTGATGGATTATTGAGAGTTGGAGGAAGGTTGATTCTGTCTGAACTTTCTTACGATGCTAAACATCCTAAATCCTTCCTAAAAATTCACTTGTGTCAAATTTGATAGTTCGGTCCACCCATCTAGCTGTAGGTCACTTAGGTAGGGTCACTGTTTTGTCAAGGATTCGTCAAAAACTGTGGATTATTCATGGTCCTGCCTTGGTTAAAGATTTGCTGTCAAAGTGTGTTCTGTGTCGGAAATATATATAGTGCCAAAATTGTGGAGCAAAAGATGGCTAATTTACCACAGGAAAGACTTAAACCTGACGAACCCGTCTTTTCGCGTGTTGGAATGGATTTCTTTGGTCCTCTAGAAGTAAAGCAATTCGTTCAACTGTAAAAAGATATGGAGTTATATTTACATGTCTCGCATCACGTGCTGTTCATTTAGAGATGTCTTTTAATTTAGATACTGTCTCTTGTATTAACTCTATAAGACGATTTATAGCACGCAGAGGACCTATGCAGTACCTCGTCAGTGATAATGGTTCAAATCTAGTAGGATCTGAACGTGAATTGCGCGAAGAGATTGAAAAGTGGAATTTGTCCAAAATTGGTCAAGAACTGTTACAGCAGAACATAAAATGGTTCAAATCTAGTAGGATCTGAACGTGAATTGCGCGAAGAGATTGAAAAGTGGAATTTGTCCAAAATTGGTCAAGAACTGTTACAGCAGAACATAAAATGGGAGTTTAATCCTCCGTCAGGTTCAAATTTTGGTGGTGTATGGGAGAGATTAATTCGCTCTGTCCGAAAATCTTATACGGATTGCTCTGTGAACGTCTAATACCACTGGATGACAAAAATCTTCAGACTCTTTTGTGTGAAGTGGAAGCAATTATGAATTTCGCGCCCAATTACAAAACTATCCCACGATTTAAATGACTTGGACGTATTGACCCCGAATCACCTTTTGTTGTTGCGAGCTGGGGAATCACTTCCTATTGGTGTCTTTGACAAAAAGGACAATTTTGCTAGAAGGCGTTGGCGTCAAATCCAATATTTGGCAGATATCTTTTGGAAAAGATGGTCCACAGAGTACCTGCAATTGCTACAGGAGAGGCAAAAGTGGCTGACACCGAAAAGAAATGTCTCCCTAAATGATATTGTATTAATTGTGGAGGGAAATATAAGAAGTTCCTACACCTTAGGGCGTGTGGTTAAGGTTCACCCCGACAAAAATGGCCTTGTTAGAGTTGTCACTGTTAAGACTTGGACAAATACAGTAAACCGTCCTGTAAATAAGTTAAGCTTGCTGTTAGAATCAGAATTTTAAATTCCATGGATGTAAATGACCCCAAAACCCAATAGTTAGTATTTTCATTATGGGTTTAAATGCTTGGGTAGGCAAAAGACTATGTTTTGAAACTCTAAAGTCTAAGTTTATCTGTACATGCAAATATGATGAATAGAATTTTATGTAAGAAAGTGTTCTATTTGTTAAGTATAATCAGAATATTGTATCCCTAGTAGATAGACTGAGGTCTATAAATTATTCCTCGATTGTTTGGAAATAGGTTTAATATGTTTTGAGATTGATAGCTAAGTTCACTAGACTGTTTGGAAATAGTGTTACCTTGGCAAAATTATTCCTCGACTGTTTGGAAAGAGGTTTAATATGTTTTGAGATTGATAGCTAAGTTCACTAGACTGTTTGGAAATAGTGTTACCTTGGCAAAATTATTCCTCGACTGTTTTGAAAGAGGTTTAATATGTTTTGAGATTGATAGCTAAGTTCACTAGACTGTTTGGAAATAGTGTGACTGAGATTATGTGAGGTATTTCATGTAATAGTAAAGTAGTAATAACTGTAAATATGTTTAAGTTACCTTTAAGAATGTATTCTGGGTTTATGGATTAAGAGTTATAAACTTCGTTAGATATCGCTATTACAATTTGCTTTCAATACCTGTTTTAGGTAATCGCTTCTTGATCATTTACGATTAGGAGGCCGGTGTAAGACGCAAATTCTTATTTCGTTCCACATATGTAATTCGCAATATTTTTTAAGTGCGAAATTTGTACGAGACCAATATTTTGCGCGAGCTTCTGTAACAGATACCTGATTGCCCAGTCTAAATTTAATGTAATTTGTTGTCCCCCGCCTTTCGAAGAAAGCAGGGGACTATTAAAATGGGTCTGTCTGTCTGTCTGTCTGTCTGTCCGTCACACTTTTTGGGACACAATAACTCTCTTCCTAATTGAGCTAGAATGTTCAAACTTGGTGTATGTGTTTATTAGGTCAATGCCTTGATGGAGTTCGAAGATGAGCATTTTCCGCTTAGGGTAAGCAGAGATAAGCAATTTGATTGGTTGATGCTTTGGGACACGATAACTCTCTTCCTAATTGGGCTAGAATGTTCAAACTTGGTGTATGTGTTGATTAGGTCAATGCCTTGATGGAGTTCGAAGATGAGCATTTTCCGCTTAGGGTAAGCAGAGATAAGCAATTTGATTGGTTGATGCTTTGGGACACGATAACTTTTAATTGAGCTAGAATGTTCAAACTTGGTGTATGTGTTTATTAGGGCAATGCCTTGATGGAGTTCGAAGATGAGCATTTTCCGCTTAGGGTAAGCAGAGATAAGCAATTTGATTGGTTGATACTTTGGGGCACGATAACTCTCTTCCTAATTGAGCTAGAATGTTCAAACTTGGTGTATGTGTTGATTAGGTCAATGCCTTGATGGAGTTCGAAGATGAGCATTTTCCGCTTAGGGTAAGCAGAGATAAGCAATTTGATTGGTTGATGCTTTGGGACACGATAACTTTAGTTCTAATTAAGTGAGATTGATGAAACTTGGTGTATAGTTTCATTACAGTAATACCTTGACTAAGTTTGATAATGTCCCCCGCCTTTCGAAGAAAGCAGGGGACTATTAAAATGGGTTCGTCCGTCTGTCTGTCTGTCCGTCCGCCTGTCTGTCCGTCACACTTTTTGGGACACAATAACTCTCCTTCTAATTGACCTAGAATGTTCAAACTTGGTGTAGGTGTCTATTAGGTCAATGCCTTGATGGAGTTCGAAGATGAGCATTTTCGGCTTAGGGTAAGCCGAGATAAGCAATTTGATTGGTTGATGCTATGGGACACGATGACTTTAGTTCTAATTACGTGAGAGTGATGAAACTTGGTGTATAGTTTCATTACATCAATACCTTGACTAAGTTCGACAATGAGCATTTTCTGCTCAGAGTAAGCAGAGCGATAAGCAATTTGATTGGACGAGACTTTGGAACACAATAACTCTCCTTCTATTTGAGCTAGAATGTTCAAACTTGGTGTAGGTGTTTATTAGGTCAATGCCTTGATGGGGTGTGAAGATGAGCATTTTCTGCTTAGGGTAAGCAGAGATAAGCAATTTGATTGGTTGATACTTTGGGACACGATAACTTTAGTTCTAATTAAGTGAGAGTGATGAAACTTGGTGTATAGTTTCATTACATCAATACCCTGACTAATTTCGATGATGAGAATTTTCAGCTTAGGCTAAGGAGCAATAAGCATTTTGATTGGTTAAGACTTTGGAACATAACAACTCTTCTTCTAATTGAGGTAGAATGTTAAAACTTGATGTAGATGTTCATCTTGACTTAGTTCAATGATTAACATATCGTGCTAAAGCTAAGAAGAGATAAGCAATTTCCTTGGTCGATGCTTTGGAACAAGATAACTTTGATTCTATCTGATAGAGAGTGATGAAACTTAGTGTATAGTTTATAATCAGTTGATTGCTGGATACTTTTGAAAAAAAATAGATGTGCGATTAATTAATATGTGTCATCTATTTATTTGGGGATTTCGGCGGGGGACATCAGCCTCACTGTTGGCTTGTTTAGTCATATTTAAGTCTTGATAATCGAGGCTGTTGTGTCTGCATGGAGAGACGCCATGACTTAAAATTTGTTGGTAGATTTCTTGGAGCCCAGATCAGCATACAAAATGGTGAGAAACAATGCAAACTAGGGCCCACACCTTACGCTTACACCCTTTATTGCTTTAAGGTCAGCTACATAAATTATGTCCCCCAAAACAGCCAGTTTTATATAAGTCAAGTCTGTGTTGCTCTGCCCAGTGTTTTAAGGGTTTTGCCGCAGTAATGCCCAAAGTCCTAATTCCGTTAAAATGTTTTGTTTCACGCACGATGTTGTTACCATTTATAGTATTATACATTATTGTAGTATTTTAAGGCTTATTGATTATTTGTGTCTTACTGCAAGTTCCATAGTAACGTTTCTCACACAGTGCAGATCTAGGCCTTTCTTGGCTACGGCCTGAATTGCAAACTGACGGCCATACAGCTATTTATGTCCTACTGCAAGTGCCAAATTAATGTTTCTCACTCAGTGCGAAGCTAGGCCTATCTAGGCTATGTTTTGAATTCCAATAGAAGGCTTTACAGGTACACCCTACCTGTCATATTAGTTTTATTTATAACAGATATTTATTGTTGTATTATTGTATTTTTCAGTCAATCATTAAACATCAATCATTAAACATGCTGCCTTGGAGAATTAATTTAGAGAATTAAAAGTATTTTAAAAACTGAATTAAAATGAGTGCGTGTTACAGGTAGATTTGTACGTTTTGCCAGTTTGAGTAGAACAGATCGAACGTGGTCCTTGGTTTGAGTGTTTTGCAATATTGACAATTAGGTAAGTTGCATATAGAGTCTAGGTATGCGTAACTTTTTCCACTAACTTGAGGTTTTGTGTTTGACTTTTTATGGTGGCTGAGGTTAACAGATCTTTTAGGGAAGGGTTCTGTCTAAAAGCTGTAAGACAGGGAAGGGGGAAGGCCCTGAGGCAATCCTGAGAGCTATGGAGAATATGCCAGTTGTCCTTGATGATTTTGCTAATGTGTACCGAAGTAGGATTAAAATCTGCAATGTGATAAAGACTGGACGTTTGTTGGTCTCGCGGTGGTTTTAGTTGTTAGGAGATTTATCCTCTGAATTGAATCGGCTAAAGTTCTGTTTGATTTGAATATATCTCTTGGGGTAACCCCGTTGGAGATAGTAAAGTTTCAGTTTGTCTGCATGTTTGATATAATCTGTGTCGGCTTGTGCAGATACGTTTGATTCCAACAAATTGGCTATAAGGTCCCTTATGTTTGATATGTGGCGGGTGGCATGATGTGTAGGAAATGTAAGAGTGTGTGTCTGTGAGTTTACAGTAAAGGTCAAATGAGAGTTTTTTGGTTACAGGGTTAAAGCTTACCATAGTGTCAAGAAACGCCACTTTATGAGTGGAGTATTCGGCTGTGAACTTGATGGTTTTGTGGAAGGTGTTCATAAGTTGGAGGAAATCTAATACCGGACAAAGACTAAAGGTTTGAATGGTATTTTGTCTAACATAATTTGTTCTAATTCGCTAAGGAACACACAAGCAAAGCTGGGGGCTACTTTGGTCCCCATGCTAGTATCTGGAGGTAGTGTTTAATATTAAAAACGAAGTTGTTTTCGGTAGGTACCATAGTTTTAGGAGTGCGATTAAGTATGTGAGAATGCTTTTGGCGACTGCTCTTAAGCCTTCGTTGGTGGGGATGTTAGCGTAGAGGGAGGTAACATCCATAGTGACAAGAATGACATCGGTTTCTTGGGTGAGGTCGGTGTCTTCTAATCTTTGAATAAATTGTGTGGTGTCTCTGATGTAGCTGGGGTATCGAGGGACGAAATCTTTGATATGTTTATCTATGAAACTACTAATGAATTCCGTGGGAGTTCCATACCCGCTTACAATAGGTCTGCCTGGAACTTTGCCACGTTCACAGGATTTATGTATTTTGGGTAGGAGGTAGAAGCGGCCTGGTTTGGGGTCGTCTACAATGAGGCCTTTTAGGAGTTTTCCGTGATATGTCCCGATTGGTAGATTTTGGTTAGGAAAAGTGTGATTTCAGTATTGAATTCATAGGTGGGGTCCTCATCCAGTGGCAGATAAAAGGCAGTGTTGGAAAGTTGTCTTTCGGCTTCACGGGTATCGGCTTTTTTGATGATAATATCGGAGTTCGTTTTAAGTTGCCTCTCTTTCTAGTTTAGAGAGGTTGTTCCTTTTGAATTTAATAGTCTCTGTGTTGAATAATTGGTGTTTGATAACTCTAAAGAAGATCTCTAAGTTACGATTTGCATCTGGATTCGGTGTCCAGGTGCTCCGTGGTGTGAATTTTTGGTCCAATTTAGAATGAAAGGTTGGGGGCGTTAAAGGTGATTTCGCGAAGTGATAGGTGGTTCTCATTTTGCGGATTAAGTTTCTAAGATCTAGTAGTGTTTTACTAAGGTCTGTTCCAATGGGTGTATGGCTAAAGGTGAGTCCTTTGTTTAGGAGTGTTGTGGTGTAGTAAGCGCCACCTTTGACAAATTGACGACAAACGACTTGGTGTAATTTTTAGAAGTTTTATTAAAAACAATCATTACTATTTTGATTAAAATTAAGATGTTTAACAATTTTTTGGACCATGTGGTTGATCTTGGATTGGTTGAACTCGGTGTTTGGAATTCTTTTTCTAGAAGAGGACCTGAACAGTTACCTTTTGTTGTTCTGGTTGAACCTAGGGGCTCGTGCTGTAGGTCTACGGGTGGATGGAACATGTGACCTTTTCCGAGGAAATGTTTCCCTTGGAATGGGTCATCTTTTTGGGACTCGAGAGTGAGTCGATTGTATCGGCTCAGTTGAAGTCTCGATTTGCCCGTGGAGATTTCTCTCTCAATCACTGCTGTAATGGCTTGTTCTGCTTCCTTTAGTTGGCCGGAGTCGCATAAGCTGGTAAGCTTGGACTTAGCTTCTTGCAGATCTTTGTTAATCTGCTGGCAGGTTTGCTCTAAATGTGGATTTTGATCATGGTGAGGCAGTATTCCTTCGTGGCACGGGCTCTAAATTCCGCGACTTCAGTTTGGTAGATCGTGTTGACAGTGTAAATTCTTGGCCTGAACGAAGTAGGTATGATCTTAGCTGTATAGCAAGATTCTAGAAAGTCGCCTTGTACTTGTAAGCGAGCAAGTTTGCTTCTTAGGTTCCTCATTGTTTTGTAGGCAGGTAGGATACTATTATCCGATAGATTTACTCCTTTGACATTAGTTGACTGGTCTGTGATAGTAAAATTAACTCTTTGTCTTTTGGCCAATGGCGCTTCTTCCATTAATGTAGTAATGGATTCCGAGTTGAACAGGGAGTCACGACTGCCGATAGGGGTCATGAAATTTGCCATAACTGGAAGGATGGCGAGATGAGTAATGAAAAGGTAGAAATGGGCGATTCTTCCAGTTATCCCAAGTTTTGTAATGTAACTAGTTTCGTTCATATTGAACTCTTCAGACTGGTTGGACTCAAAAAGTGAAGTTCTATTTATACTATTCAGGGACCCCGGTAGTTAGTATTTGGCGGGCTTGCCGGGGTTTGGCGTATTTTGCCGGGGTTGTATTACCGGGGTTTGATATTATAGCGGGGTTGTTTTACCGGGGTTTGGTATTATGGCGGGGTTCATGAGTTTGCCAGATCCCGGAGTTTGGTATTATGGCGGGGTTCATGAGTGTGCCAAATATCGGGGTTCGGTATTATGGCCAGATTGAGGAATAAGCTAGAGTTAGGTATGATACAAAGTCGAAGTGTCTGTCCTTTGCCGGGATTTCGGGCTGGTTGTATTGAAAGGGGAAAGCCAGTCCGGGTAGGCTCTGGGGCCCAGAGGATAGAATAGGAAAGAAAAAAAATTAATACCGCCATAATACCAAACCCCGGGATCTGGCAAACTCACGAACCCCGCCATAATACCAAACACCGATAAAACAACCCCGGAAACCCCGTGGCGTTGCGTAGTCCCAAACAAAATACAGGATAAGCCATTAAAAACTTTTTTTAATGGACACCACCACAATATAAGATGCAATGCAAGAATGCGGTGTGTACTTACCAATAATGCCAATATGAAAATAAAATTTATTCGACGAATTTGAAATCACTTGACGACGAAACCACATGTAGGCCTATCAAAAAAGACGCACATCTCTAGAGATCGGCTATCCGATCACAAACGACATCGATGCTACATGATGCCACTGTACCTTATAAATTTTCTCCATACAAATCATTTCTCTCAAAATATTCACAAAATAAAGTTTTTGCCAAATTTCTTAAAGATACATTATGGGAGATTAGATAACCAGTTGGCAGTTCTCACTATAATAGTTAAAAACTAGATAATGTAAAGGCAATTTGCTGAAAATTTCAATCAAATTGATCCACTATAAACCGAGAAATAAGCGATATAAAGTTCATTACTAAAGTCGGTATGACAAAAATCATAGTCTCGATTATCCATTTACTCGTTAAATCGAGAAGGAAAGTTATGCAGCAAATCGGATCATAATCCAACAATTATCGCAGGCTAGCGTTGACACCGAGAGTTGATTATGGTCTGGATACGTTAATTAATGTCTAATTAATAGTTTATATAACATTTCAGGCCTAAAGAAGGACCTACAATAGGCGGATTTTGTTTAATTGTTGACATTTGGAGGCCAAATGACACCTTCTAGGAGTTCTGCAGCGAATATGGCAATAGTCTGGCACAGCCAATTTAGATTTCATAAGTTACACTTCACCAACAAATTGTAATACATGCAACATACTCTTACTGATATGTGTCAAACAGTATGCCACATAATATGACACATATTAAAGCAAATTATAAACTTGAGCCAAAAACTCATTGAACGAGGAGTAATGCCTGTAAAGGGTGAAGGTCATTTGCACCGCTTTCGGAGGTACGGATTGTAATTAATGGGTGATCAGAAAGAAAATGCAACGGTTAGGTTTTTTTTATACGCCCACATTTTCATGTGAACCTATATTATGCCGTCGCCCCTGTCCGTCCGGACACAATTGTTTGTGGACTCTCTACAGGTCACAATTCTTATCCGATTTCGACGAAACTTGAAATATAGGATTATCCCCAAAAGATCTCGGCTGCTTTCGATACTGGCATGTATCGGATCGAAACTTCATGGATTATGGCCCCTGTTTGTACGAAAAATCACGTTTTTAGCTTGTGGACCCTATAGTGGTCAAATGACACCTTCTAGGAGTTCTGCAGCGAATATGGCAATAGTCCGGCACAGCCAATTTAGATTTCATAAGTTACACTTCACCAACAAATTGTAATACATGCAACATACTCTTACTGATATGTGTCAAACAGTATGCCACATAATATGACACATATTAAAGCAAATTATAAACTTGAGCCAAAAACTCATTGAACGAGGAGTAATGCCTGTAAAGGGTGAAGGTCATTTGCACCGCTTTCGGAGGTACGGATTGTAATTAATGGGTGATCAGAAAGAAAATGCAACGGTTAGGGTTTTTTTATACGCCCACATTTTCATGTGAACCTATTATGCCGTCGCCTCTGTCCGTCCGGACACAATTGTTTGTGGACTCTCTACAGGTCACAATTCTTATCCGATTTCGACGAAACTTGAAATATAGGATTATCCCCAAAAGATCTCGGCTGCTTTCGATATTGGCATGTATCGGATTGAAACTTCATGGATTATGGCCCCTGTTTGTACGAAAAATCACGTTTTTAGCTTGTAGACCCTATAGTGGTCACAATTTTGATCCGATTTTGTTGAAACTTGAAATGTAAGTTTATAACCCAAAGA